ATATATATATATATATATATATATATATATATAGAGAGAGAGAGAGAGAGAGAGAGAGAGAGAGAGAGAGACTTGAGATTACTTGAGACCAACATGTTTTCGTGAGACATGTGTGACCACTTTTTTACACTTGAAACTTCACGCAAAACATTGTGAAGGTAACCTTCACAGTGTTTTTGATGGGAATGTTCGGATTTATTTTACCTTTCAAGTGTAAAAAAATAGTCTCACGAGTCTCACGAAAACAAACTGGTCTTACGTGAATCCAACCTTGTATCTATACTATATTATAAAGCATTGGATAAAAAAAACTTTTAGAAACTATCTTTTATATATGAAGTACTTCTTATTGATGCATATTACTTAAATTTTAAGATTACAAGTAAATTATGCTCAAGTATAACTTATTAAACTCCATGTTTAAATTCGTATAACAAACTGTAGATAAATATAACAAAATACATCATAAAATTCTTATTTTAAATCGATATAATTCCCCTCCCCCCTCCAACTCCACCACGTTCGCACCTCCCCTAGACTCTCCGGCCATCGTCACCGTCGCTACTAGTTGAGTTCTGCCACACATGCTTCTTATTCTACTTTACTCCAAAAATTAGGAGCCTAAACAATACCAAAACCGCAATCCATATAAATGGGTCTTGCTCATTTCTGTTATGCCCAATCAAAGAAATTCGATAACGAAGGTTTCGGGTTTACGGTTTTATTTCCTTGTTCGAATCATGTTACTTCATCGTTATCCATTACACGACCAATCACTAAATCCACATCAATCCCTACGTTAAGTTAACCACAAAACTAAATGAGGATAAATTGCCGAAACAAGCATAACCTTAAAATGGTTAGGTTTCAGGTTCAACTTTTCGCCCGAACCTTTATTAATTAGATATGCAATTGTAAAACGCAGTTATAATTACCATTATCATTTTTTACAATATAATTGATAAAAAAAAATTATATAGATTATATTCGTTATTTAGACACCGCCTTTACATAGAACCCGTCTCAAAAGACACTAACATGATAGACACTTACATGGTATCGGTCGCTACAAACCTCTTGAACCGTAACGATTAAGTTTAAGGTTTAGTTTTTCTTACCAAAAAAACCCTTACTCTTTTATGTAACAGACATGCATACCAACTTACAAGAAATTAAAAGACCTAAATTATATAAGCTGTACCACGTGAAACAGACAATATATAGTGAATAAACAAGGGAAAAGTACAATAAAAACCAATGGATTTTCTTGTTTGGAATGATTAAGTCTTTGGATTTTTTTTAGAACAAATAAGTCACTGGACATTCCAAAACATGTTAAATAAGTCATTGGACAAATTTTTGGAACAAATAAGTTCTTGGACATTCCAAAATATGTTAAATAAGTCATTGGACAATTTTTGGAACAAATAAGTCATTGAACATTCCAAAAAATGTTAAATAAGTCCTTGGACAATTTTTGGAACAAATAAGTC